TACTTACGAGCGTCTAATTTATTCAACTTTAATTAATATTTTTTTTTCCCTTCAAATCCTCAACAGTAGAGATTGACAAATATCTGGGAAAGTGCATAACCAGCGTTTCCAAGGTGAGTAATGTTACATGAACTTTAAAAATAGGTTTAAAAACTAGATTTTATAATCACAATCATTAAATAAATAGTAGATCCCAATAAATACTGGGCTGGGACCTACAGTGAAATAAATGATTATAATTATCAAGTTTAATTTTTAAGTTCATGCAACATTGCTTTTCCAAGGTTTGTATTTTTTATTAGTATTGTCTTGGAAGACTAGCTAGGCAAGAGACTTCATTTAATTAATGCAAGTTGTATTTTGAGATTGGGAAATACTATTTCGATTTTATTTAATAATTCACAGTTAATATAATGGTTGTATTAAAGTTATATCATTAAATTCTTAAATAAGGCCCCCGTACCATTGCTCTTTGAGATTTGGTATGTTTAATCTTATAGACTTCTGTATTTAGGGATTTACTTATAATTTGTTAATTATCATTAACTAATCGAAGAGATTAGATTTTTTTTGGAATTTATATTTGTAAGAATGTGTCAATTGATGAAGTCTCGCATGTCCATCTGACTTAACCCTATATGGTCACAATTCGGCATGCGACAGTTATCGGGCTTCTGGCCTAAGTAGTCGGGTTTTTTTTTTTTTTTTTAATCTTTTAGCAATGAAGTTTCAAATTGTGTTGAGAGATCACCAACTAGTCCTTGCTTAACTCTATAGTTAAGCCTAGTTTCTTTTTAATTAGAGCTGCAACCCTAATGATGCATGTGTACTTGTAGATTGTTTGTTGTAGCTAACAGTTGCATGGAGTGTGAATAGATAAAATTCGGCATAATATACAAACTGTAGCATGTTGATTATCACATATAGTACCAAGTTAGAAATTGGCAATGATTTTGTTGATTCTTAATAATTATTCAAGGAAATTATAGTAGTCCGAAATTACTTACACCACATAGCGTAATAAGCACAATTACAAATTAAACCTAAAATCGAAACGTAACTGAAAAGATGTTTCAAAAATGATCTAAAGGTCATAGCTGAAATAGGGTCTTATGTTCTTTTTACATGGTAACTGAAATCCGCCGTAATTAACACCGCTCTCGACGAACTGGGTATGTCATGTAATCTTTTGTTATGAGTGTTACAATCTTATGCACACGGAGATGGAGCCAAGAATCATCTAAAGTTCTGACATAGATCACTCTACTAAGAATAAGCCTGTAATATTGTCATCAAAAAATTATAAATTTTTAAGGTTAAATTATAATTTTTTTGAGGTGTAAGTTATTACTTTACGGGACATAAATGCATGATCAATTATGGAAGGTTGAAATCGATACCGAGTGTCTGTGATCGATCATAGGTATTTATAATCGATCACAACTTTCCCTTGAAAAATTATAACTTCTCATTTCAAATATATAATTTTAACATAAAAAGTCATAACCAACGAGTCAATATTTTTCAAACAATGATCGAATAGGAAGGTTTTCAAAAGTTGCAGGAGCTATAACTACACTCCACCCTTGTAAGAGCAAAAACCAACATCCAAATATTATAATGCACTTGTTATATATATATATATATATATATATATATATATATTTTTTTTTGTTTTTGTTTTTTTCCCACTACCATCCCATGACACCTTAGGAGGAAAACAAAAAGAGTAATGCTAGATAAAATTAAAAATTAGACTTGATAATTTCAACCATTGAATAGGTAGTGGATTCCAATAAATATTGAGACCTAAATCAATAATTTTAATTATCAAGCATAATTTTTAAATTTAATTTTAAATTCCATGTTAACATTGTTCAAACAGAAATGTAGTTTTAGACTGGTAGTCTCCCCTAGGGACAAGCATGGGGAATCCTATTAACAATCTGTCACGACGACTAGAGATTCTAGCTATTAGTCTAGTTGACAACAATGTGAAATTAAAGACTTGATTATGATATTAAAAAAATAAAAAATAGGGTTGTACTTTTAAAATTTTTTACTTTAAAAAAATATTTTTATAATTTTTATGACTTATTTTATAATTAAATAATTTATCACTTTTAGACATTCTTAATATCTGAAATTTTTGGATTTGGCATGATTAAATAATTATCCACCCAATCATGTACAAAATATGATCGAGTCTTACTAGCATCATAATGCTTTTTGTTTTGTTAGTGAAACAAAACAAAAAGCATAATGAATGACAATGAGATTTAAACTCACAATTTTAAAGTTTGACAATTGGGATAGTTGCCAACCGCTACTCTCATAATGAACGACATCTTTTTCTCTTTTTTTTTTTTGGCTTTCGAAAAAAGGGACAGAGACAAAGAAGAGCATCCAAAAAATACCTCAATAGGCCCTCATTTGTGGGATCATGAGGTCCCTAACCATGCCATTACATTTTTCAAGAACGAATTTAGCTAAGCTAGCATCCGTTTCCTTTTAGGAGTATTAGATTAATCCTAGTGACTGCATCCAGTAGCATATTGTAACAATTTGGTGAAGATATAAGCCATTTACAGTCAACATCCCTCTCTCTCTCTCTCACACACACACACACACAAAAAAAAAAAGACAACCAGCTATTCAGATAACAGTGGAAGAATTTAAAAGCAAGGGTTCACGTTAACAGCTAGACTTTGCATGAAACCTGGCCAACAACCCCTTTATACAAATTATTACAATACAACAATAATAGAATGGTCCTCCTCCCCCGCCCTTCTTTCTCTCACCTATCATTACATGAGTTTTAGCCTTCAGCTATGTTGTCCCTAGTCTTCATCAGTGCATTACTAAATTCACTGAATCAATGTAATAATTAAGTCCATATTGCGTATCCATCCATTTTACTGTTGTTTGGTCTCATAATCTTCAGCACAACCGTCAGAAGATGCCATGTTCTTCAAGGTTTCTTAACAACATTTACTTGCACATATATATAAAACTGCATGACAGTTATGAGACTTTAAACTCGCTCAACATCGACTCGTTCAAGACTGATTTGTGTAATAAATAAGTTACGTATGAACAAATTTTTAAGCTCCCGTTAAGCTTTTTATGGTTGGCTCAACATTCCAATTAGCACCGAAAGATTATGTGGAAAGCCAATTTACACAAGCTCAACTCTTCAAAAATTTATGCAAGATCGATATATATATGTAAAATAAATGAGTCAAGCCTATAAGTTTATTTGACACTCGACTAAATTTTACACGAAATTCAAGCAAACTATCATTCGGCTAGGCTCGGATTATTTGTACCCATATATTAAGTCTATCCCTTGGCATCTCTCTTTTTTTTTTGTTCGTTTAATGGTGAGCGGTATTCGGATTAGTTTACATGCATCTCCACTAATATCTTCTCTGGTCCGGTAGAATGCAGGTCATTCATGTTGCGATTTGAGTATTTACAACGGATAAATCTCTTATGGTCTAACCCTAAGGAATTACCCAAATTCGAATTCAAGACGATTGAATTTACACCTCGTCCCTCTATCCATACCGATCAAAATATAAGGATTCCCCATGATAATATGCTTGAAAATAATTGTGACACCCAATGTCTAGGATTGAAAAGGATTTACCCTCTGCGGATTAGCTGTCTAGATCACATATAATGGCTATCTACCAAATCTTTAGGAGAGCTTTTTAAGAGCTAGACATGATATCAGCCACTTGGAAGTATCTCCTCAAATACCAAGAAAACCAGTCCAATATGTGGTGAATAACAAAAGTACCAAAGAAGTGTCAAACTAGTTCGAAGGGTATCATGGTCACTTAGGTATTTTATGCATCTTTGGTTTGGTTGGGGAAAGGGCTGTTCACATGGCATGAAAATTAGCTTCATGTGACCACATGCTTAGGCCTCCTCCCTTGTTATTATGACCTCTCTAATCAATGATGGTCAAACTGCCAAAGCTTCTCTCTCTTTGACTGATCCATACTTTATATCCTTACTTTAGATACCAAATTTACTTTTTGATGAAATATAAAAGTTACAATTAAATCGGGTTAAATATGATTTAATAGAGTCGGTTTGTATCCATCCTAATATGTTAAAATCGATACTAACTTTTTTTGGTTTGGGTTATTGGGGTGGGAGCCCGAGTACCAATTTGACTGATTAACATGAATTCGATACGATACGACACCACTCTAAAATTGATACAATTGACAAATACACATAATAAATGAATTAGATTAATGTTTGATACACATAAGTTATAACACATTAAACAATTTTTTTTTCGTTGATTTTAACACAAAAATAAAATGACCCAAAAATAACAACACAGAGATATATAAAACGACATGATACAAATTGACACCCGTACAAATAGATGTAAATCATCATTTTATGGGTATTAACCGGGTAAAAATTAAAGCTTGGATAGTTTATGGTCATGCAGGGTAATATTTGACCTCTAAAATAATCTAAAAAAAATAAAATAAAAATAAAAATAAAATACTAAGAGTTGCATCCAAAATTATAGAAAAAATTATTTGTCTTTTAGTTCCCAAGGTGTCCATGTGCTGTTTCCCAGATTCTGCACACAGCCTTAGCTTATGTGTTTCGGCTTCACAAGACCATTTGAGTTTTATATTCTCACCCTCCAAACATTTACTAACAGCATAAAAAAAAAGAGATTAAATATGACACAAAAACATCCTGACCGAAAAAGAAATTAGTCGAGATACGCACAAATTAACTCGAACAAAACACTCTTAAAAAAAAACTGAAAAAATTGAAGTGATACACAATGCCAGTACTTTGCGGACTAAAAGTATATTCAGTCCTTTAATAAACAGTAAACAGCAAGGCATCTCATTTGCCTTTATAAAAGACACAAACTAGTGCATGTGTTGAGACACAACTCCATTTGTACTCTCTTAGTCTCCTCTTTCTTTTTGCATCCAAAACTCAAAAACACCATGGTCTCCCTTGAACCTTTTCAGGCCACCTCTAAATCCATTGATCCAAATTCAAGTCCCCGGATTTCTTTCTCGGCCGATTTCCTCGACGAGAAAAATTTCATATCTCTCTGCCCCAAGTCTCCGATTCTGATCAAAGATCACGAAAGGGAGAGAGAGAGAGCGCGTAATGCAGAATTCGAGTTTCTCTCTAGCAATATGACCAACCAAACAATGCTGACTGCTGATGAGCTGTTCTATGATGGGAAATTACTTCCCTTTTGGCAAATGCATTATTCCGAAAAAATCAACAAGATCAGTCTCAAAACAGAAGGTGCCGAGGAGAAAATGGAGGAGGTGAACAAAGAGGAGAGTAGGGTGAATTGGTTTGTTGATGATGATCCATCCCCTCGGCCACCTAAGTGCACTGTTTTATGGAAAGAGTTACTAAGGTTGAAGAAACAACGTGCTTCATCGTTGTCACCATCTTCTTCTTCTTCTTCCTCGTCTTCTTCGAGCTCACTAGTTGATATAGCTCCCAATGATGCTGGCAAAGCAGGGTCGGGGAACAGAGATAAGCATGTGAAAAGGGCTAAGAAAGGATTGGAGAGGACTAGATCAGCTAGTATAAGATTGAGGCCTGTGATTAATGTACCAATTTGCACACATGGAAAGAGCAGTGCCCTGCCTCCTTTGTTTACCATCAAGAAAGGAAGACTAGAGAGGTGAGAGAAGGAACTGTAATTGTTTGTTGGTGGTATGTAATGTAGGATTTGTCCAATATGTTCAGTTTTTCCCCTCTTCATTTTTGTAAGTTTTCTTCCTCTATTTTGACCAAAAAAAGAAGTTGGTTTCGGTGGATCTGATGAATAACGATAACAATAACAATAGAGTAATATTATTTGGTCCTAAAAATATGACATAATCATTGACATAATGACGTGGTTTCAATAAAATTATTGAATCAACACCAAGTTTCAATGTTTGATAGGCTTCATAGTCAATCTAAAAGTCATAGTGAATTAGATCAGCAAATTAGGTTCCAATAATATTACTCGTAACAATATAAATTCTGACTTTTATGGTTTGGTAAATGTTGGTTTTATAACTCACTAAGGCCACGTTTGGATGACAATAATTTTAATTGAGAATGAGTATTCATTTTTAGTAATGAGATATCTGAGTTTCAATTATCAAAATAAATCTTATATTTAATGTTCGATTATTGTCAGTAATTTAGTGTGAAAACTAATGTTATTGCCAAATTATTTTTGGAAATAATTTAATTTTAGAAGATAGATTGATTTTAAGACCAGAACTTATTTTTTGAAATGCAAGTAATTTTAGGAAGAAGTTTAATTTTTGGATTTTTTTTCTTTTTATAGAATACCCAATCAATTTAGGTATGAGATTACCACTATTAACCATGAGTTTAAAATATTCACTATTATTGAGAATTGAATTATGGTAGTAATCTTATTTTAAGTTAGATTACTGAATAATTAACTCTCCAAACATGATAATCTAGATTTAGAAATGAGAATCTCAATTCCAATCAAAATTATCGCCATCCAAATAGAGCCTAAGTTCTAGTTTGATATCATTTGTGATAGTCTTGTAATTCAAAAGCATAAGGTTTTTATTTTTTTACTCCAAATCCCAATGGATAGTTCAAGTGGTAAAATGGATGAATTGTAAATTCAGACGTTCTAAATTCAAATCTCAACAACTCTTTGGAGTCAAAGCCATAAGAAATTTATCCCTCATAAACCCCTTAATTTTGGCGTGGATGGTCTATTTTTGACCATATCGAGGAGGAGATTAGTCGAGGTGCGCCTAAGTTGGTCCGAACACCCCTAATTGTTAAACAAAAAAAAAATGTGGTTTTAGTGGTTAATCTGAGGAGACTAAGTTACCGAAAAATAAATTTAAAGTTAAATTTTATGAATTTTGTTATAAATTTTTAATAAATTGGGCAATAAATTATAATTAAAAAAATTAATTATCCAAAAAACATTATAATTTAAATCATAAAATTATAATATGACCTAAAGATTTATATTTTTTATGTAATAAATAAACTTAAAAACTTGAATTTCAACCTATAAAATTTATAAAAAAAATAACGGTAATTTTTTCTTAACAGAAGGTGATAACATCAAGAGTGTTGAATTCTTTCGGCAGAAGATTAGAAATTGGCTAAACTAATAGAGCAAAATAACATAATCATCTTGACTGCAATGAGGGTGTGATGCAAATTCTAAATCTGCCCTTCTTTATGTGCTTCAAACACATCTTGGAGACCACCAATATATGCTCGATCCAATTTCCCCTCTTATTGCAACACTTGAATCTGTCTTTCGAGATTGCTTGTTATCTCCAATCTAGCAGTTGATCACAACCAACTTTACATCTCGGACCAACATAGTCTAATCTTTCTTATGCCATTCTCTTGTAATCCTGGCTAGTCAAATTGATGCGAGACTTTGTCCAATTATCAGCCCACTTATGAACACGATTTTAAATGAAAACTTTCATGGTTCATGGATTCTTTCTCTGGTGGCATATTATTTTTTTATGGGTTAATTGTAAATTGTACTCTAAAAGATCGTTTAAATCTCAATTTGCACCCTTAAAGATCAAAAATCTCAATTTACATCCTTAAAGATAGAAATTTGTATCAATGTGCACCCCAAAATATAAAAAATCTTAATTTATACCCTCAAAAATAAAAATTTGTATCAATGTGCACCCTCAAAGATAAAAAATCTCAATTTGCACCTTAAAAGATAGAATTTTGTATTAATGTGCACTTAAAACTAAATTGATAAATTATACCTAAATTCCCTTATACTTGTTATTTAATCATTTAGATCTTTCACATTTAGAATATTACTCCTACATCTTATGATGTTTGTCCATGTGTAACATGTAACTTCTTTCGTTGATATCTATTAAGATAACCTTTAAAAAATATGATTTTATTCTAATAAAAAATTATAATTTCATATTACCATTTATTTTTTGAGTCCAATATACTTTAAAATTCAAAATCAAGCTTACCATTTGAATATCTAATAGAATAAAAGGTTGCACATTGAGTGATATATTGCATTGGATATAAAAAATATTATAGAAATATCTACATTCTATTGAACATTCAAATGGTAAGGTTAATTAAACTTTAGAGTATATTGAATCCACAAATTAAAAAGATAATATAAAATTATAATTTTTTATTAGGATAAAATCATATTTTTTAACGGTTATATTAACATATATCAACAAAAAGGAGTTACGTGTTACAAATACACAAACGCCATGAGATGTAGGAGTAATATTCTAAATGTAAAAGCGTTCAAATGATTAAGTGACAAGCATGAGAGAATCTAGATATATTTTATCAATTTAGTTTTAGGTGTACATTGATAAAAAATTTTATTTTTGAAGGTGTAAATTGAGATTTTTTATCTTTGAGAGTGCAAATTGATATAAATTTTTATCTTTGAAGGTACAAATTAAAATTTTTTACCTTTAGGATACATATTGATACAAATTTTTATCTTCGAAGTACAAATTGAGATTCAAATTATCTTTTAGAGTACAACTTACAATTAATCCTTTCTTTATTTAGAGATGCTTTGGATAACGGGTAATAGTATTTTTTATATATTTGAATATATTCTTTAGAGTAATAGAATGAAGAATAATAATTTAAATACGTGAATAAACTTTTATTAAAAAAAAGTTTTGTATGTCTAGATATGGGTTACATCAAATCCATTTAAATCAAGAAATAGGAAGGAGACATTAAATCGAGACAAGAAGCAAACTAATTGGATAAATTGACCCGACCCAATCAAGAGGTCATCTTCATGGTAGGCCATAGAGGCATCCAAACAAGAACCATAACCGTAGTTGGAAGCACGATCATCTAGTCGTGTCCAAAGGACCCAATATCCCCAGGCTGGAGTCAGACACCTTCTTCAATTGGGGTAACTTAAACTATATTAATATTAAAATTTAAAATATTCATAAAAGTATAATTTTATTAAGAGAACATCAATTAAAGAAGCAATTCATATACATGAGCGATATATAAAATAAGCCAATAAAAAAAACTCATTATAGATTTATCTATAAGATCCAATAAAAAAATTTTGAACCATAAAATTGGGCTCAATCATATATTAAATTTTAAGAAAAATTTTCATAACTAATTCAAAAATTAATTTGTTCAATCTCAAACTTAATATTTATCATTAAATTTTAACAAAAAATCGAAACTAACTTAAACTATAATTATTCTAGTAAACTAAACCTAAGTATATGAAGTACTTAACTTATCACAATAAAACTATTCAAATTACCAAATCAAAATAATTTAGTCTAATTATAGTGGAGGACTACATGTCCCAATTCCAATTCTACGAATAAAAATAAAACAAATGAGACGACTACAAGTCCTAATTCCAATTCAACATATGTAAACAAAAAATACTAGAGATGACTACAAACCCAAATATAAATTAAATATATAAAAAAATAAATCATAGAAGAGGACTACAAGTCCCAATTTTATTTCAACATAGAAAAATAAATACAAGACTACAAATTCTAGTTTCAATTCAAAACATAAAAAATAAAACATAAGAGATTTATATTTTCAATTCAACATGTAACAAATAAAATACAATAGAGAGCTACATGCGTTAATTTCAATTTAACATTAAAAAAATAAACCGCAAAAGATGAATACAAACCCTAATTTTCAATTCTAACATATAAATATAAAACAAAGAAGAAGATTACAAGCCCTAAATTTAATTTAATGTATAAACATAAAACAAATGAGAGAGTTAACATATTTTGTAACATATTAGTTAATCTTTAAATGTCTTAATTTTTAATATCATCTTTCATTAATATTTACAAATGAGACTCATATATTTGTCAAAACAATATAACTATCTTTAAATCTTTAAAAAAAAAATTTAGTGGGGGCAAATATCTAATAAATTCTAAATTGTTTTAAATTATACTTAGTCCTCAAAATTTTTTAAAATTCCAGTGAGGGCAACTGTCCCCACTGCCCTTACTGTGGATCCGCCACTGACTATCCCACATCAACGTATAGGCATAATTTTTTTTTTTAATTTTATGATTAGTAGTGATATGGTTAATTTGCATGCATCTCTATTAAATTTTTTTTTTGATTCGATTAAAGTCAGACTATTAACATTAAGATTAAAATAAATTATCAAGTTTCGAATTCAGGACGCTTAAATTACTGTTCGTCTTTATTACTGCTTGAATTATTTTTAAAATTTAATATGACTCTTTTGTTAGCTCATTTTTGTCAACGTTAATAGATTAATTTTCGACTGAATAAATAATGTACGTTAATGAAAGTATCCCATTGTATTAGGGTAGAATATGAAAATTTTAATTTTTTAGAATACAAACTGAAAATTCTTAAATCTTTTGGGTGGAAAGGGTGATTGCCTTTTATTTTTTTCTTCCCAAAATACCCCTCATTCTTCAAAACTTTTGCTTCCATGGTGTTCCACAAGCGGCAGGGCAAGGTGAACTTTCACCAGAAAACAAGGGCGAAAAAGGAAACTGGAGCGAAGACGGCGGCTGAGCGCGGTCGCTGAAACCGGTAACAATCAAACTCTCCGATTTCTTCTTTTCTCCTCAGTATATGTAAATGCGTGGGCGTGCGTCTCTCTCTCTCTCTCTCTCTCTCTCTCTCTATATATATATATATATAATTTCTAGCAATTTCTTGTGCACTTCAATAGGTGTTTATGTAGGGAGCGCTGTGATTAGAAATTATTTAGGGCAGAGGATGTGGTGAAGGTGATAGTTGATGGTGGAGCGGTACCTCCACTGTATTATCAGTAGTAAATAGTATGTTGGATCGCTGGTTTGGCTCAACAGTAAGACTTTGCTAGGGTTTGATTATCAGTTAATTGTAGTTAGATTGCTGACAATTAAACCTGAGGCCAGGTTGCATTAAACCTGCAATTGAAATAATGGAAGTTGGCTTCTGAAGCATCATCATGGAGTCTGAAATCAGCTCTTGCCATGTCTTAGATTAAAAGGGCGTACCCGGCGTACCCGGTGCATGAGGTTTTCGTTATTGCAGGATGGGTTAGATGAACGTAGTCTTTCCCTATGAGGGAAGAGGTTTTTTTTGCGATTCGAACTCATGACTTTTAGGTCACAATGAAACAACCTTACTGTTGCCATGTCTTAGACTAATGCTATAAATTACATATTTTCATCTTGGTTGGTTCAATGTAGGAATTTTCTCTATTAGAGTCTTCTGAATGAAATTTCGATGATGTAGATCATTTTTTGTATACAAGTAGAGAAGTGGGAAAAGTCCTTATTATTGAGTACCAAGTATAGTGGATAATTAACACAAACTAAATCTTGCATAGTCATTGAAGTGAAGGCATTCAAGAAATGCTATCACCTAATAAAGCGTATTCAGTGAGGTTGATGACTTGCAATTGTGGTTCTCTCTGCTAACTGTAACAGTGGCAATTTGGACTAAATATTTTTCACAGTTCACATTATCTGTAAGGTGATATGGACTATGGAGTCCTGAGTCTGAGAAATAGTGAGCTTGCAATTTTCTCATGTTTTGATGACCATGTTGCAGTGATCTTGTCATGCTTATCGGTTAAAATGTCCAAGATAGGTTCAGTGCAGTAGCTTTGCCTGTCCTGTGTTTGTATCACGCTGAATCTGCTGATTGGCCTTTCCTCAATGTGGTTGTAATGTTTCTTGATGTCAAACCTGCACATATGAAAGTGGTGTTATTCCTGCCAGGATCGCCTTATATTGAGCTCCGAGAAAAGATATGATCTCTATGTTGCACAATGAAATATGATTGCTGATGAATACAAGAACTCATTAAGAACTTTATTCTTCATGAAGTTTTTCTTTTACTCTCATTCCTACTGATGGAGCAAAATATGGTAACAAAGGCAATTTGCAAAATGGCCCTTTTATTTATTGTTGATGGGAACCTTGCAGAAATCTTGCAGAACGACACTTTTTAAGTGTTGTTGCTAGGAAACTTGCTGAAAACCTCCACAATATTGCTCAAAATCTGAGTCAATGATGAAGAAAGCTTTACTTCTTGATATAAATGAGCCCCTGCTCCATCCCATCCCCCTTTTGTCAGTTTAAATTGACGATGACCAAACCTGCATGATTGTCCATGAAACTAAGACTGTTAGATTGTCTTTTTTGAGTAAGCCAATTAAACACGATATTCATATTCCATGGAGAATTAACTACAGATATGGACCTGTTTTATCATCTGCTGATGTCTAATGTCTTCTTAAGTTAATCTTTCTCAGGTTCTCCTGTCGGATCGGGCATACACTACCAGAGATTTGCAATTAATTTGCAGAAGCACCGACTAGGCCCAACCCATAAAACTTGCAACAGTAGGCGGTTGCTCCTTTTTTCTGATTCCATACAAAATAGAATGAACTGAAGCAGTGGGTGTTGTGGTTGCCGAGGAGCGAATTTGGAGGTCACAAACTCTTCTTTCCTGGGTTTCTGTTGCTTTTTAACGCCTGTAAGTTCTTCCTACGTGCCATTTTCTAACATATTCCCGTCCATTACCATCCATGAGTTATTTTTAGACATTGCAATGCACACTAACTAAATCTTGCAGATTTTGATTTTGTAATGGAGTCAAAAAGAAGGGAGTGTTGTCAGCATTCAGAAGTATTCACCTGAAAAAAAGAATTTTACGCACTCAAAGTAAAGACTTGTTAATGCCACTGAAAGACTTCATGACTCACTTGAAGATGCAATTTTTACTGGGAGATTCATTGACAGAACTACTGGTGGACTTGGGCTCAAATATTTTTTTTTTTGGGAGGGGGGGAGGGGGCAGTTTTAAAGTTAGCCTATTTAGGGCTTCTGCAACCACTTTATCAACCTTAACCATTGTAAGTGTACTCATTTTGCTTAAGATGGTTTTACAGCTTGTTCATCTGTTTCTCATGGTTTACATCTACCTCTCTTTTTGTTTCATAGGTAATATTGCTACGTATGTTCGGTGATCTGCGAAAGGAGTGATAATTGTCAGTACGACAAATCATGAGTAGTAAACAGATTGCATTAGCGTCATAGTTTATGACACAATTTATTACACGGGTTAGATTAGAATTGACTAATATTCAAAACAAATTCAACAACAACACGGTTAGATTTACGGGAGAATCATTTATGGTGGTTGTTCTTACCCTCAACTTGGCTAAATTGAGTTGATAAGGCAGGCCCAACAGTTTGATTAAACACTTTGTATATTATTAGTCGAATACTCGATCTAAACACAACTAATCTAATAATTACATTGAAACTATATTATTAAATTCTCAAATTAGGTTGAAACCCTCAGTCCGGAGAGTCACTCACCTTTTCTTGTTCTTGTCCTGAACCAGGTATAATTAAGCTGTTAGGGCAGGCCCAAATGTCTGAAAAGTTTATTTTCAATAGGGTAATTTGGAAGGCAGTACAAAATTTTTTGACTTATTTGACATAAATTACATTACGAAAACTTATTTAACCTTAAGTGTATTATTTTGAAAAAAAAAAACTAAAAGGGTATTTATTGCTCCATTATTCCCTCTCTCCATTACTATGAAAACTCTCTGTTCCCTATTTTTTTTTCTCTCTCTCATATTCATAATTTTTTTTTTTTGAATCGAAACAATAGAAATTTTATTAAGAAACTAAATCTGACATAGGAGATGGTATTAGAAAATTTGGAGTCATCTCTTCCTAAACATCAATATTTTCAACTACTCTGGCCTTTCGAGTCAGTTGATGAGCCACACGATTTCTTGATCGTCTAACAGTAGACAAAGAATAAAAAATAAACAAACGAAGAAATCGCTGTACATCTGCAATAATAGCGCCAATAGGAGAAAAATCTTCAGAATTATCTCCAATCCTTTTCATTATTGCAAGAGCATCCCCTTCCAAAACAATTTCATCACACCCCATTTGCCTAGCAAAAAGCACAGCTTCCCTTGCAGTCATAGTCTCTGTAGTTTGCGCTTCTACTTTGACAATTAACTTCTTAGACATCCCAATAATGAACGATCCAGCTTCATCTCGAATCACCACCCCTACCCCAATAGCACCCTCTTCGTCAAACACTACTCCATCAAAGTTAACCTTAAAAGATTCAGATCTAGGAGGAACCCAACGTTCTGGTGCACTTTCTTGGACAACATTCTGACCAGAATCCAAAGTTTGCTCATACTGCGAAATAAACTCCATTGCCATATGACAATACACCACAGGCTCATTTCGCCTCTGCTGAAATAAAACCTCATTCCTGTTACGCCAAATATACCAACACAACACCAAAAACATTGCACCAAGTTTCGGCTTAAGCTGCAAAATAATTTCCCAAAACCAATCAACAAAATTCTCATCCACTCGATTTATTAAATGACAAAAAGGACTCTCATTCCATACTTGTCTTGCCCAAGGACATTCGTTAATGATATGCAACATAATTTCAACAACCTCCCCACATACACAACATACCCCAGTTGGTCTAATTTTCCTATGCCACAAATTTTTATTAGTAGGAAGAACATTCAAGATCATCCTCCCATGCAAAAATCTTTACTTTACTGGGAACATTTTGATTCCATAGAGCACCCCCAATTACCCCCAGAATTTGATGATGAACTAGCACTTGTACAACCCGAATGGATTAAATTTTGCTCATATGCTAAATTGTACGCACTTCAGACTGAAAATCTGCCATTGACATTATAATGCCAAATTAACTTATCTTCCATAGGCAACACACCCAAGGAGATCCTTTTAATTACCTCTGCTTCATGCTTTAAAAAGACAGCATCAATCACAGGAATTTTCCAGCAATGTGTAACTGGATCAATAAGCTCACTAACCATAGCATCATCCTCTAAAAAATTCTTTGGACTAACCACTTGGAAGGTAGATGGAGTAGGAATATACAAAGATTTGATTTAATTTTTTCATCTCTCTCTCCCTATTTTTTTTCTCTTTCTTTCATTCCCTCTACCCTTATCTCCTTATTCTCTTCATTTTTTTCTCTCTTCTTATATCAACGTTACAAAAACACAATTACACTAATCAGTTACTCATGTGTTCTAATAAATCAAATAATTATATTAAATTACAACACAACTCAATTTGTCATTTAGTTATTTGCATAAATCAAAGAGTTATACCATTTAGTATCACGACATGATTACATCAATTATATACACCAAATTGGGTTTATCATTACACAAAAGATTTTACCATTATACTAAATTTGGTATATATGATTAGTGTAACGATATTGCGATACTAAATAATGCAACTATTTAGTCTATGTAAATAATTGAATAACAAATTGAGTTGGTGTTATAAATTTGTGTAATTATTTGGTTTATTAAAACGCAAGAGTAACTGTTTTGTGTATTATAAGACAATTGTAATTGATTGGTGTAACTAATTAGTGTAATTGTGTTGTTGTAATGTTGATATAAATATATAGAGAGAGAAAATAGGGAGAGAGAGAGAGAAATGGTTAGAGAAAATAGGGGGAAAGTGAAAATGGGGAGATATATGAAAAAATAAATCAAATCTTTATATATTTGAAAAAAAAAATTATCAATGATAGTTATAGAAAGAAAATAGGGAAAGTAATGGGGGAAGAGAGAGATGGAGAGAAAATAGGGAGAGATAGTGAGAGAGTCTAATGAAATCTTTACATATTTGATTAGATATAGAGCTACCAATCAAGAATACATAATTTAAAGAGGGTATTTAAGTAAAATAGTTTTGATTTCATTTGAATTTTGTACCTAAACACGATATGTTTTACTAAAATTGAACTTATTAGAGTAAACAATTTATTTATACATTTTTCCTCAAATAAGTATAAAAAATTAAACTCAGCCAAAAAACTCTTTTAATATTCTACGAATCAAAACTCTTGTTCTTTCTCTCTCTCTTTTTCTAGACTCTTTTGTTATTTTATATTCTAAGGGTGTATTTAGGACGATTTTTCAAAAGTGTTTTTACGACTTATAAATTCTTATAAGTATTTTAAAAAAAATAATATTTGAAAGAACTTATTTTATTTATTTTCTAATAAGTCAAAATTTTGACATTGTTTTATACCCAATCTTACACGGTTGTCTTATGCTATTTGGCATATTTGAATGAAGTCAATAGTAGGTGAAGTTTCCTAGAAATCCGCTTGCCTATACCTACCTGGATATAAGACATGGTAGTAATTGTTAATGAGCATCAGCAGTCCATCCGATGAAAGAGAGACAAAGATTATTTAATAAAAATTTATTAAAACATCTATTTTCAATTGGGTAAAGTGGAAACTTTCTCGAAAATGTCGCCTTATTTATTTCCATCTTCTCTTTAATTTGGTTTTGAATGAGATCAGAATGTTAGCCAGTGTAGGTTACTCTAGGACATAGAGAGTAAAGTTTCTTGATCCATTCACGGGGATTGAATACCTTACCAAAAAAAAGTTGGTATATTAAATAGGGACTTGACTACGGTAATAAAAAAAAAATGTCGGTATTATAATTTTAATGAGTATTTTTAGTAATTTTTATAGATCATTTTACAATAATAAAATTTATCATTTTTTGGGAGATTCATTATTTTTGTAAATGTTTTTATCACTATTATGAGTGCTTTTACTATATTTCATATAAATATTGTTACCACTTTTCTTTTGTATAAAAAAAATTATCACTTGAGTGAGTGATTTTTCATATTTGTGGGTATTTTTACCACATTTGTGAATGTTTTTATTACTTTTGTTGTAACTATGTTTACCATTTTTTTGAATACAACAACAGTGATAAAAACACTCACAAATATAATAAATGCAACCACAAATATAATAAATGAAAGTATGATACTGAATTTTTTTTGGGGACGAGAGGGTTATTCCCACATATTAAATCTCTTTTCTCATCTCATTTATTCGTCTTATTTCAAACTATTAACTTCAATCAATTAGTTATTAAGTTTACATCATTTATATATATTTAATTAAATTATAAAATGTGTCAAAAAAAATCGAAACAAAAATAATAATTGAAGCAAAATTTTAATATTTTAAGGTGTTTTAAGATATTTTCACTGATATCTTTGGAATATTTTGAAGTGTTTTAAGATATTTTTGTTAATATTTTAAAAGTAATTATTAATTTTTATTCTGCATTTGAAATATTTTTTTGTATCAAAATAATATATCGAAACAAAATTTTGATCATTCCCTATATAGTTAGTCGAAATAAAATTAAATAAATTTTATTTTTAATTAGTGAATATAGATGAGGTGGGTTTAATAACTTATGAGGTGGGTAAAAATGAGGTGAAGTTAAAGATGATTAAATGTGATAGAAAAAGAAACTTAAGGAGAGAGAATAGTCTAATCTTTTTTTGTTCTCGGTTCCGTAGTTAACTCCATTAAATAGAGAGAGTATGACCCATTCATGTTTCTTGACCATCCACGTTGTGTCATATTTGGATAGTATGATTTCGGTTTATATTATTTTGGATTTGCATAATGTTTGTGTATATAAAAAATAGTATTAAAATATTTTATGTAATTTTAGACTAAAAAATAAATTAGTCATGTTTAACATTAATTAGATTTATTTATTATTTATATTAATTAGGCGTATCGTTTTTAAATTCATATCATGTCAAATTAATGTGATTTTGTCTAAAGTTGTTACATCTAATTATAATTAAAAAAAAAACTCCTGAATTTTTTATTGGTATATTTGTTTGGTCGTCAAATTGTCGGTTGGC